GCAGGCCGCGCAGGCGGAGGAGGTCGAGAGGATGTGTTTGGACGCCATCATCGCCATCATCGAGGACCCGTACAAGCAGAGCCAGAAGGAGAGCGCGATGATCGGCGCGTTGGCGGTGTTGGGCATCCGCGAGGACGGCGGGTGGCACCAGGCGACGGAGTACACGACGAATTATTCGGCCGTGATCAAGGTGGCCAAGATGTTCGTCGTGTACCAGGCGTGGTTGGAGCGGCAGGACGAGGTGGCGGCGTTGACGGCGACCAAAGGGGCCGAGGCAGCATACGAAGAGGCCAGCAGCGTGTTCCATTTGGTGCGCGACAAGGTGCGGCGGTTCATGACGCGGATGCCCGGGCGGCCGGACGACGAGCCCAGGGCGATGAATTGGATTTACGACGCGCGCACGTACGGGATGCACATCCGGTTCAACACGGTAGCGCCGGGCATGGTGGATTGGAGCGGCGACCGGATATCGTTCCGACGGGTGCAGGTGCGTGTGTGCGAGTTGGCCGAGATGTTCCACGGGGTAGCGCAGGAGGCGCGGTCGTTGTTGGCGCAGTTGGCGATGGTGGATGGGGATGGGGATAGGGATAATGATCCCAAGTGGAACGGGCACGGCGATGGGTACGGAGGCCGATCAGCGTTAGCAGCAGCGTTGCCCGCCATCAGGTGGGACAGCATGCACGACGACCACAGCCAGGACCGGCCGGGGTATTCGTTTTTGCACGACGACCGCAACGAGGCGTGGGTGGGCAAGGGGAAGGGGTGGATCGCACGGCGCATCGCAGAGTCGGAGGCACGGCGGCGGGCGTGGTTGGACCCGACGCGAGGGACGGCGGCAGCAGCAGCAGCAGCAGCAGCAACAGCAGGAGAGGCGGAGGAGGCCACATCCAACCGCAGCAATAGTCACCACCCATACCGCGAGAGGACGGTGCAAGCATACAGACAGGCGTTGGAATCGTTCCGGGAGCGGTTGTGGATGTTGATGCACATGGTGGCAGGGCAGCCGGCGCGGGCGCCCGAGTTAGCAGGCATCAGACACAGCAACACGGCCAACGGCGGGGTCAGGAACGTGTTCGCACACGACGGCATGATATGTTTCATCACGTCGTACCACAAGAATTACCGCCAGACGGGGACGGCCAAGGTGATACACCGGTATTTGCCGCGCGAGGTCGGCGAGTTGTTGGTGTGGTATTTATGGTTGGTGTTGCCGTTTTGGCAGCAGGTAGGAGGCATCATCCATCAGACGGACCGGAAGAGCGCATTTTTATGGGCGGACGACGTGGTTGTAAGGGGCAGGGCGGCGGGCGAGGCGAGCCGTGATAACACCAGGGGCGACGAGCGCCGCAATAACACCAAGGACAACGACGCCCGTGACAACACCATCACAGACGAGAGCGCCAACGCCACCCCCAGCCGGGCGCCGTGGACGGACGAACAGTTATGGACGTCAGACAAGGCAAGACGGATCATGCAGCAGCACAGCGAGCGGTTGGTCGGTAACAAGATCAACATCAGCGGGTGGCGGCACATAGCCGTCGCCATCGCCAACCGGTATTTGAACGAGGCGTTCGGGCGGGCAGACGACAAAAACAACGACAATAACGACAACGACGACGACGACGTGGGGGTCGAGGACAGCGCATTGGATTTGCAGGCAGGGCACGGCACGCACGTGGCGGGGATGATATACGGGCGGTTGTACCAGGAGGCACCGTTCGGCACGGCGGCGTTGCGGGACAGGTTCCGGGCCGTCAGCCGGCAGTGGCACCGGTTGTTGGGGTTCGGGGCGGAGGACCGGGGCGGCGGGGCACCGACCAAGCGGCGGCGGACGGCGACGACGGCGGCGGAGGAGGAGTTCGAGGGGCAGCGGCGGCGGCGGTTCACGCGGTTGCAGTTGGCCAACGCCGGCGGGCAGTTGCGGCAGATGATGGGGGACCCGCAGGCGGCGTTCCGCGGCCAGCAGGAGCGGGTCATGCGGTCGATCATGCGCGGGGACGACCCGATCGTGCAGGTGACGGGCACGGGCGGCGGCAAGAGTTTGTCGTTCATGTTGCCGGCGTATTGCGCGCCGGACGGGGTGACGATCGTCGTGACGCCGTTGGTGGCGTTGCGTACCGACATGGACGCGCGGTGTTCGAGGTCGGGGTTAGCGTCGACGACGTGGCGCGGCGGCGGGCGGGCCAACACGACGGCAGTAACGGTGGTGTTCGTGACGCCCGAGTCAGCCGTCACGCAGGGATTCCAGGATTTCGTCGGGCGGTTGCAGCGGCGGCAGCAGTTGGACCGGGTGGTGTTGGACGAGTGCCACGTCGTGTTGGACGGGTCGAGGGGGTTCCGGCCGGCGTTGCGGGGGTTGGGGCGGACGGTGCAGGAGTTCGGGGCGCAGTTGGTGTGTTTGACGGCGACGTTGCCGCCGGCGGAGGAGCGGGAGTTTTTCGCCGTGACGGGGATCCGGCCG